ACACATAATCCAATAAAAAAAAATGGAGTACAGACCTAAACAGAGAACTCTCAACAGAGGAATCTAAAATGGCTGAAAGACACTTAAGGAAATGTTCAACATCCTTAGTCATCAGAGAAATGCAAATCAAAACAACTCTGAGATTCTATCTTATACCTGTAAGAATGGCCAAGATCAAAAACACTGATGACAACTTATGCTGGAGAAGTTGTGGGGAAAAGGGAACACTTCTGCATTGCTGATAGGAATGCAAGCTGGTACAACCCCTTTGGATGTCAGTGTGGTGATTTCTCAGAAAATTAGGAAACAACCTTCCTCAAGACCCAGTAATACCACTTTGGGGTATATATCCAAAGGATGCTCAACCGTGCCACAAGGACACGTGCTCAACTATGTTCATAGCAGCTTTATTTGTCATAGTCAGAACCTGGAAACAACCTAAATGTCCCTCGATGGAAGAATGGATAAGGAAAATATGGTACAGTTACACAATGGAGTACTACACAGCAGAAAAAAAATATCAACAGCTTGAATTTTACAGGAAAATGGATGGAAATAGAAAACGTTATTTTGAGTGAGGTAACCCAGACACAGAAAGACAATTATCACATGTACTCACTCATAGGTGGTTTTTAAACAGAAAGCAAAGAAAGCCAGCCTACAAACCACAATCCCAGAGAACTTAGACAACAATGACGACTCTAAGAGAGACATACATAGATCTAACCTACATGGGAAGTAGAAAAAGACAAGATCTCCTGAGTAAACTGGGAACGGGAACATGGTGACCTTGGGGAAGGGCTGAAGAAGGGAGGGGAGAGGCAAGGAGGGGAGCAGAGTCCAAGCCAGGCAGTAATGGCGCACATCTTTAATCCCAGCACTTGGCAGGCAGATCTATCTCTGTGAGTTCGAGGCCAACCTGGCCTCCATAGTGATTTCCATGACAGCCAGAGCTGTTACAGAGAGAAGCCTTATCTTATAAACCCAAAAAGGAAAGGGGAAAGAAAAAAAGATTGTGAGACCTTCCTAATTTATACAATTCTGAAGACTCTGAATTATTTTCTAACATGTATATGCTTCTTTTGATATAGGGATATATCGTACTTGACAGGTAGAAGCTGGAGGATCAAGAGTTCAAAGGTCAGTCAGGGATACAGGAGACTCTGTCTCAAAAAAAAAAGGCTAAAAGTATTAATTTTAAAATAAGGGTTCCACAAGGGCAAAATTCAACACTCACAATTAACAAGATATCACTTTAGCACACAAATTACATAAAAATCTAGGAATTGCAAATCAAAGTCCTAGACATTTTACAGACGTATTTGGGGAAGTGTTTAATGCTGACTGGAAAAATGAGTAGAAGGACTGGCTTCCTCCTCTACTAGGCAAGGATCGGAGAGCAAACCACAGAGCTGGGTCACAAGTTCTAAATGCAAATCAGCATTTCGAGAAAGGAATCTCTAAAGAAGAGTTAACAGAAGTCCAGCACCACAAACCAACCAGGCATGGACACTGAGCGAATGCCCTTCCACCTAGTCTCCTCCCCGTGCAGCATCCTCCAACCACAAGGTCACAGGCCTCAGATCAAAGTGGCACTCCTAGAACAGACCAGGACATCTCTGAGCATGGGGTCGTCCAACTCTCTCTCCCACGAACGTTTGAGCATCTACCTCTATTGCTCATAGTAGGTTTGGTTACAAAGGAGTCTTTAATCCCAGCACTCGGGAGGCAGAGGCACGCGGATCACTGTGAGTTCGAGACCAGCCTGGTCTACAGAGGTAGTTCCAGGACAGGCTCCAAAGCCACAGAGAAACCATGTCTCGAAAAACCAAAAAAAAAAAAAAAAAAAACAAAGGAGTCACAAGGTTAAGTAAGCATCTCTAATCAAAAATCCCAAATCTGCTAACAAAAGTACACAATTTACACCATGAAACTTTAGGGGTTTCTTTCTTTCGTTTTTAATAAATGTTTTCATTTATTTAGTTTCTCCTCCCTCCTCTCTTCCCATTCCACCCCCCCACTTCCTGTCTATCCTGCCCCCCACCCACCCACTTCTCCATTCAGAAAGAGGCAGATCTCCCATGGGAGTCAACAAAGCAGGTCATATCAGGTTGAGGCAGGACCAACTCCTCCTGCATGGAGGCTGGGTGAGGCATCCCTGCATCATGAAAGCCATCCATGAAGCTTTGTTTAAACCACAAAACTATTTTAAAGTATTGCATAAAGTTACCTTGAGGCTATATGTATATGAAGTATACAAAACATAAAATGAATTTCATGTTGAGAGCTGGGTCTTACCCTTAAAATCTCACTATATAAACTCACCATTTAAAAAAAAAAAAGTAGCAGAGGCAGGCGGATCTCTGTGAGTTCGAGACCAGCCTGGTCTACAAGAGCTAGTTCCAGGGCAGGCTCCAAAACCACAGAGAAACCCTGTCTCGAAAAACCAAAAAAAAAAAAAAAAAAAAAGTAAAATACTTCTGGTCCTAACCAGTCTAGAAAAGGGATATTCAACCTGCGCATGTTGCAGTTGCCAATCTTTGATTTCACACAGAAAATACATAAATAAAAATCTCCAAAAAATATGGAGTAGAAATAATACAAAATTACCATCAATTACTGACTCTCACCATCATTTCCCTAAAGACATTTACTGTTCAGAAGCAAGAAGAGAAGTCGGCATCTCTCAGCTGCCAGGTATGGCATCAACTTAGCAGACGAACCAGTAATCAGCTGACAAAAATACCACGTCATGATCTAGATAACAAGACCCAAAACGCATTTAATTTGGATTAAAGCTATGCGCCTGAAAGCAACGCACACTCAGCACAGACCAACTCTTCAGGCTTTTAAGGACTTAGTGGAGAGACACCTTACAGCTGCAAATCTGAACAAAACAGGAACTTCTTTTTGTTGTAGTTGTTTGCTTGCTTTGAAAACCTGAACAAGTAACTAAGTGACTGCAGAAAATGACAAAAGCAAATGACTGCCCCAAAGCAGGTGCCACTTCCCAAGCTCCCCACAAGAAGCAGTAGACCACAGAAAACCGAGCTCACAATTCAGCCACTGTTTCTTCCTTCTAGAAACAAGCTTTGAGAATATCTGGACCCAGTCTTGACTCTTTTGGTCTTCTTTTAGAAACTGTGGGTACTTTACCCATATTTTCAATAAGAGTTAGTTAGGGTTTTCTCGCTCACTTGTAAAAGCTCCTTTGCTGTATTGCTATTTCTAACAGGACGTAAAAAACCACTTAAAAATATTTCTACGTCAAATCAAGGATAAACCTTTCTAACACTTTCAGGCTTAGTATGACCTCCGCTCTGAAAATCGGCCACTGAAAAGTAGCCACCATTTACAGTTAAACACTTCTGGTCAAAAATAAATCTAAACGTTTCTTTAAAACTTTCTGTTGTTGTTGTTGTTGGTTTTTCGAGACAGGGTTTCTCTGTGAAACAGTCCTGGTTGTCCTGGAACTCACTCTGTAGACCAGGCTAGCCTCAAAACTCACAGAGATCCTCCTGCCTATGTCTCCCAAGTGCTGGGTGCTGGGGTTAAAGGGCATGCCTCCACTCACGGCATATAAATGTTTTAGATAAAAACTATAAATCTAAAACCAAAAAACAAACAAACAAGGGCCAAGCGGTGGTGGCACACTTTAATCCCAGCATTTAGGAGGCAGAGGCAGACAGATCTCTGTGAGTTCAAGGCCAGCCTGCTTCACAAGAGCTAGTTCCAGGGCAGCTAGAACTGTTACACAGAGAAACCCTGTCTCAAAAAGACCAAAAGGAAAAAAACCAACAACAACAACAACAACAAAAACCTATAAAACCTATGGGCTAGAGAGATGGTCTGGGGTTAAGATCATGGACTACTTTTTCAGGACCTGGGTTTGATTTTTAGCAATTAGGTCAAGTGGCTCTCAACTGCTATGACTTCAGCATTGCTGTTCATCATCGAAGGAAGTCAGAACAGGAACTTAGACAGGGCAGGCTCTTGGAGCTGATGCACAGAGCATGGAAGGGTGCTGCTTATTGGTTTGCTTCCATGGCTTTGCTCAGTCTGCTTTCTTATAGAAAGCAGGACCACCAACCCAGGAATAGCACCACCCACCATAGGCTGAGCCTCATCAATCACTAAGAAAATGCCTGAGAGTTGGATCTTATAAAGGCATTTTTCTCAATTGAGGGTCCCTCCTTTCAGATGACTCTAGCTTGTTTTTTTTTTTTTTTTAAGATTTTATTTATTACATATACAATACAGTGTTCTGCCTCCATGTCAGAAGAGGGCACCATATCTCATTGTAGATGGTTGTGAGCCACCATGTGGTTGCTGGAAATTGAACTCAGGACCTCTGGAAGAGTAGTCATGTCCTTAACCTCTGAGCCATCTCTCCAGCCCAGACTCTAGCTTGTTTTTTTTTTTTTTTTTGATTTTATAATGGTGTGAAACAAATTTACTTAATATTCTAACAACTAGCTTGTTTTAAATTGACATAAAACTTGCCAGGACAACATGTTTAATCTATTATTACAAATAGTATAATATATTCTCATCTCTAGAAATATGGAGGTAGAGAAAACTAGGGCTTCACCATCCTAATTATAAAGACCTAAGTAATAAAAATACAATTTATATTCTAGGCAAAAATGGCAAAGATTAAAAGTCTAGTGGCAATCAATTATCAAAGTCAAACTTGGTAACACAGTGATCCTGCTTCCCCTTAGTGAACTGCACCTTCACTAACTAGTCAGCCTTCAATCACACTGAAAAGGCCATTGTGTGTGCACCAGCCAAAACCTAAAGTCTTTCCCAAATTGTCTTAGCATGATCACAATTAGAGGATGGGCACATTACAGTGACTCAGGTCACTGCCCAAAACCAAAGACCTGGAAATGGTCCTGCCCAGACCACAGCAAGGGAAAAGGCAAGCACAGGGCACTTGGACATGCTGCAGTCCCACCGTCTCCACAGGGCAAGGGAGGACAGAGAGCTGGACTCACTCTGCTGGCAGCCGCTCACCAGTTGCTCAGGGAACAGATGTAGACCTGTCCCATCTCCTTTCTCAACTGACGGAAGTGCCACTCTCAGCTCTCAATAGGATGCAGTGTCCTGCTGGATACCTGAAAGCCACAAACAGGACCTCAGAGTCAAAACGGCCAGCAAACATTAATCCTATTAAAGACATGGTTCCAGAACGTGACTGCTAAAGGAGGCTCCGTTCAAAAACAAAGCACGACAGACAGCATCAGCCTTCTAGGGCTAGTTTCTAAGCAGGAAGGCAGTTTTGAAGTTTATTTTGTCATTCTACTGGAGCAAAATGGATTCAAAGAGAGCACTCTAATGTCAACCCCAGACAAACCTAAGGGACCCAAACTCAGACCAGGAATGTTAAGTGTGGAGACCACACCTGGTGTCCCTCTCTCATTCTCTGGAGTAACAGACTGTAGTCTACCTTACTTTCACTGCAAAAACACCATTGGGGGAAAAAAAAAAACTGGGAGTGGGTCGGATCAAGACTCTCTAGTTAAGAACACTAGCTTCCAGAGAACCCAAGTTTGTTCCTAGTACCCATGTGGTAGCTCACAACCAAATTCCAGTTCCAGGGATCTGGTGCCTTCTTCTGACCTCACTAGGCACCAGGCATGCCTGTGGTGTACATACATAAATAGAAGCAGGCAAAAACACTCATACATATAAAATAAACTAAATCTAAAATAAATGTATTCAAATTTCTAAGTTCAAGGTGGCAGCTGGTTTTTCCATGCATATTTTAGTAAACAATTAAATTTGAAATCTAAAATATACTTTAAATAAAATCGTGGTCTGAAAGATTTTTCTTCATCCTTTAAAAAAAAACAGAAAACAAAAAAAACGGTTTTGGAGGAAGGAGTTATTTTGAAGCAGGGTCTCATTATGCAGCCCTGGCTGGCTTCAACGGCAGAGATCCACCTGCCTCTTGTCTCCCCAGTGCTCCTCTTGTCACCTCACTAAACTTTACTATTTGAAAAACAACATTCTTCTGCCAGGCAGTGGTGGCACACACCTTTAATCCCAGCACTCAGGAAGCAGAGGCAAGCGGGTATCTTGAGTTCCACAGCCAGCCTGGCCTATGGACCAAGTTCCAGGACAGCGAGGGCTATACAAAGCAACTCTGTTGTGGGGTGGATGGGACACAATATTTCTAATTTGAAAATTAAACTAGAGAAAAGTGATCTTTAAATAAAATTTATTTCTCAAATGCATCATAAGATTACTAGAGAAGCTGTAGAAACCAAATGTTTTATTAAAATACTAATATTCTTGATATAGATATATAGAGAGAGCTATTATAAACCACCAAGAAAAACAAACTAAGAAAAATTGGGAACAAATAAGCCAAACAAAATATAACTGCAAACAAAATCATTAAAAGTGCACCAGACTGTGAGTTCGAGACCAGCCTGGTCTACAAGAGCTAGTTCCAGGATAGGCTCCAAAACCACAGAGAAACCCTGTCTCAAAAAACCAAAAAAAAAAAAAAAAAAAAAAAAAAAGTGCACCAGAGACTGGAGAAATGTGATGGCTTCGTGGTTCAGAGCACTTTCTACTCTTGCAGAGGACCTGGGTTCAGTTCCCAGCACCCATGTAAAGGCCTGGCAGGCATGTAATCCCACCACAGAATCCCTATGACAAGCTGGGAGCAAGATTTTTTTTTTAATTTTATGTGCATTGGTTTATATGTCTGTGCGAAGGTGTTGGGTCCCCTGAAACTGGAATTACAGACAGTTATGAGCTGCCGCGTGGGTTCTGGAAAAACAGTCAGTGCTCAACCGCTGAGCCATCTTTCCAGCCCTGCAAGCTCTGGCAGGAGAAGCTGCTCCAGTATAAAGTGGTGAGCAGCTGAGGAAGAAATTCAGTCACAGGCACTCACACACATGCATGTGCACATACATGGGGAACATTCATATACACACATTACACACATGCAAATAATAATAAAAATCCTTCAAACTGCAAAAGATGCCCCTTTCAAAAATTTAAATAACCAGAAAAATGCACATAGATTTTCATAAAATGCAAATCCCCATTGTATAGTGTTCACCATGGCAAGAAAAAGTGGGGGGAAGTCAAAGGTTCAACAGAAGGATTTGTCATGTCAATTGAGATGCATTGCACACAAAGAAGCTGTTAAAAATCGAGCTGTAAAGAAGTATTTAGTCACATTCCTAAGGCAGAATGCTAATGGCTTAGTTTTTTTTAGTTTTTTACGTTAATTTCTTTCCTGAAAAGGAGACCCCGCGCACCTTAGCGCACTTAAAGGTGAGAGAACAACTTGTCAAAGTCAGTTCTCTCCTTCCACCGGCGGGCATGGAGACTGGCCCCAGGTCATTCGCTTGGTGCAAGCACCTTCGCCCACCATGCCACCTCACTGTTGTCTGATCGCTGTGTTGGAAGTTATATTTGATGGGTGCATTTCCACATACACGGAAAGTTTACTTTCAAATACACCGTGAAACCCTGAGTGTTCAGTGAGTTAAAGCAAGGAGCTACTTCACCACAAGTCTTGCATTTCATCACTGCGAGCAGAAGGATGCCTGTCTCACTTCCAGAGAGCCTTCCAGTAATTCTGACCAACAGCTTCAGTGTTCTCTATAGGACAAGTCCTAAAAATATCTGTGACCTGCCAGCATATTTTTTTCAATCCATTTCTTTTTTATTTATTTATTATGTATACAATATTCTGTCTGTGTGCATACCTGCAGGCCAGAAGAGGGCACCAGACCCTATTACAGATGGTTGTGAGCCACCATGTGGTTGCTAGGAACTGAACTCAGGACCTTTGGAAGAGCAGGCAATTCTCTTAACTGCTGAGCCATCTCTCCAGCCCCTCAATCCATTTCTGATTACAAAAAAAGAACAAAAAAACAGGAGAGGAGAGGAGAGGAGAGGAGAGGAGAGGAGAGGAGAGGAGAGGAGAGGAGAGGAGAGTCAGATTTTGACACCCTCCAGGGACTACTCGATCTGCTTTCTACACAGATCAAGGACAACTCTACATACTCATGAGAACTCAATTTGCAAAATCATTTCATTTATTGGGAGAACAAAGTCAGCAACGTTGGTGGCCACACTAAATTAAGAGATGGCAAACAGCCAGCTATGGTGGTGCACGCCTTTAATCCTAGCACTCAGGAGGCAGAGGCTGGTGGATCTTTATGAGTTCAAAGCTAGCCTGGTCTACAAAGCGAGCTCAGGACAACCAGGGCTGTTACACAGAGAGACCCTGTCTGGGGGAGGCAGGGAGGAGCTGACAAACAAAGCAGATATCTAATTCATACACCAAAGAGACAGGGGCTCCACGGTTAGTAATGCGTGTTTCCCTCCATTCCCATCATCAATCAACTCTGCAGGGCTCTGAAAGTCATACATGTCTGAGCTGTAGCTCCTTTAGAGCGCTGGTTCTCAACCCTGGCTGCACAATGAAATTGCCTGGAAAAATCTTTAAAACTCCAATACTCCAATGAATGTAGAAACTGCATCTCAGATTCTGGGGTGAGACCAGGCATCCACGGTTTCTCCAAATTCCCCAGCTGATTTCAGAGTGCTGTTAAGTTGGGGACCACTGATCTCAAGCACCTTTTTTCAAACAGATAATGAACAACCCATAAGGGTGATGGTTGGGGGTGGGGGAATAAAGCAATGACTGAGGGTCAGCAAATTTTTAATTCCTTTTTTTTTTTTAAGTAATTCTTGGTACCACCACCAAATCTGATCTACCAATTCCATGAAATCACTATCAAAAAATCCCATCTGCCTTTTTGGCAAAAGCTGACAGACTAATCCTCAAAGTCACATAAAAATACACAGGTCCAAGAATAGCAAAAGAACAAAACCAGAAGCCTGCTTTTTCTCCAGCTTCAAAACTGAACAGAAAAACATGGTAATTCAGACAGGGTGGTATAAGGACAACATATAAACTAATGGAAGGAATATAACAGAGAACCCAGAAATAAATCCTAACACAATTCAACAGGGTAGAGAGTAGTCTTTCCATCGAGTGGTTCTAAGACAACCTGAGTTAATATAAGACTTTCCTGGGAGATGCACAGTGATACAGACATCTTGTAGGAAAGTAGGGCAGTCAAAATGAAATCTGGAAAACGTATTTTAAGACTTGATGGACACTGAAAGAAATAAAAGTGTGAGATTTCAATCCTGAAAAGAAATTTTAAAGAGTTTAAAACATTTGGTACATCAACCTTAATCAGTACTGAGCAAGTAAACTCAACTGGTATCTGTCATGAGTAATATTATAATGCAGATTCCCTGCGCAGTCAAAGGGCTTAGAAGAGCTTCTACTCCTAATCAGCTTGTAATCCTGCAACTGTGGACCCTAGATGGAGGTGTTGGGGAAGGGAGCACACACACCAGAGAAAGCAGGAGGGACGCCAGGCCACAGGGTGAGCATCCCAGGAGCTCACAAGGGGCTTCAGCGATGACACGGGAGCCTCAGGAGCAAGGGGGTGGACTGAGAAGGGAAAGGACAGAAAGCTGCTGCTGTGCATATATACTCAGCCTATCTGCACAGGGAGAGACAGAGTCCCATAAAACTCCTCTGAGGAAGAACGTTTTCAAAGACTCTGACACAAAAGGGCAAGCAGCTACACAATATAATGGCATGAGCTAAAAACAAGAAAGCCCCTGGAATGGACCTGAAGAGAAATATAACTAATTCCTCCTGGCAAGAAATGTAGAGTCGGCCGGTTGGTGGTGGTACACGCCTTTAATTCCAGCACTCGGGAGGCAGAGGCAGGCGGATCTCTGTGAGTTTGAGGCCAGCCTGGTCTACAAGAGCTAGTTCCAGGACAGGAACCAAAAAGCTAGAGAAACCCTGTCTCGGAAAATCCAAAAAGAAAAAAAATGCAGAGTCATCCTCAATCCAATAGGGAAGGTGAACTTACTGGAGAACTACCACAGTGACCAGGACCCTACCAGGATCCCTAGAAACTCTAAGGGGCTGGGAAGGTGGCTTGCCATGCTCAATAACCTGGCTTCAATTCCCAGAACCCACATGGTGGTAGGAACTGACTCACCACAGCTTGTTCTTGTAAACAATTTTAAAACCCTCCACTCTTCCTTGGGC